CAGGAGAGAAGTCTGAGTTACACATGGTAGACTGAACTAGAAGCACGTCAGGAAGCCTGGTCCCTGTGGTGCCTGAGGGGAGTTACCTGAGATAGGGCTGGAGAAGCAGGCGGTACACATTCCTTAAGATCTCGTGCAATAACTCTCCACTCCCTCCTCCCCGCAGCTCTGGTAACCTCTAATCTGTGTTCTGTCTCTATAAATTTGCTTATTTTGTAGACATTTCATGGAGTCCTTGGGTGGTGCAAAAGGTTAACGCTCTCCACTGGGCCAGGGAGCTTAGACTTCACCTTCCAGGTTATGAGAGCCACTGGAGGATTTTAAGCAAGAAAATAACATGAACAGATCTGATTTTTAGAGGTGACTTTACTGGCAGCATGGAAGGTGAATTGGAGAGGGGAGAGAGTAGAAATAAGGAGACCAATGGAAAGTTATTTGAATGTTGTTAGGTGCTGTCAAGTCAGTTCTGACTCATAGCGACCCTATGTACTACAGAACGAAACACTGCCCAGTCCGGCGCCATCCTCACAATCGTTGTTATGCTTAAGCCCATTGTTGCAGTCACCTGGGTCAATTCATCTCATGGAGGATGTTCCTTTTTCGATGACCCTCTACTTTACCAAGCATGATATCCTTCTCCAGGGACTGATCCCTCCTGATACCATGTCCAAAGTATGTGAGATGTAGTCTCACCATCCCTGCTTCTAAGGAGCATTCTGGCTGTACTTCTTCCAAGACAGATTTGTTCGTTCTTTTGGCAGTCCATGGTATATTCAATATTCTTCACCAACACCATAATTCAAAGGGATCAGTTCTTCTTTGGTCTTCCTGAAACCAAAAACCCGTTGCTGTCGAGTTGATTCCAACTCATAACAACCCTATAACACAGAGTAGAACTGCCTCATAGGGTTTCCAAGGAGAGCTGGTGGATTTGAATTGCCGACCTTTTGGTTAGCAGTCAAGTTCTTAATATTTGAATAGAGAAGAATAGAAAACTTATTAGAACCAGAACATCTTATGACAGAAAAGAAGTTGTAAGGGAGAGAAAGAATCAAGTAATACACATGGGATAATTCACAAATTTAACAAATACATGTGGCGGAATCAAGAATATAATCCTATATGAGCATGCACAGGCTTTGACCCTCCTCTAACCTTCTAGGTAAGGATCTTGAGTCTTTGTTGTATAGGGATAATGGGTGAAGGAGGAAATTAGGAAGTAAACAAGAAAGGTGGTTTTAATGAACATTGTAAAAGTCAGAGAGTGGGTTAAAAGAACAAACTGAAGGTGGTAGGATAGATGGTAAGAAAGTAGAGATGGGGTTTTAAGAGAGAGTTTTGGGGAGGAGAGAGCGTGTGAGTGAGAGCTCATCCCCCATGCTGGAAGAGTAGTAGGTTTTTTGAGGAAATGGATGAGTGAAGGGACTTTTAGACTATTTTGCTATGTGTCGTACTATGTAATTGCCCTTTGGTATTTCTCGTGAGATTGCAGTAAAGATTTCAATTACTTTTCAATTTTTTTGTGCCTGAATACTGTATCGTGCAAAAGTAGTGTAGAGATAGAGGCAGGTAGGCTCAGCTGCATCCAGATTACTTTTACATGAATAGAATCAGTAGGACTGGGTGATCAATGAGATGTGGAAAGAGACAGAAAGGGAGGACTCTAAGATGACCTCTGCAATGATATCAGAAGTCTGGTGACGTTTTGTGACAAAGAGACATAGTTTAGGATCAGAGAATGGATGCCACATTCCATGTTGATCGTTTGGAGTTTGAGGTGCTTGCGGGTAGTCAAGGACAGAAGCCCAGTAGGCGATCACTGTTTTACCAGGGGAGCTCCGGAGATAACTCTGGGCTGGAAATGAAGACATGGAATTTGCTGATATTTTTGTGGGTTTTGTGGCAACCAAATGCATGCATGAGAATATATGCGGCTAATGAAAGACCAAGAACAGGACTGTGGGTTGCATTCTTGCTTAAGGGATGGGTTGAGAAACAGGAGCTATCAAAAGAGGCTGACTCAAAATGACAAATACTGTATGATTCCACTTACATGAAATACCTAGAATAGGCAAATTCATAGAGACAGAAACTAGATTAGAGGTTACCAGAAGCTGGTGGAAGGAGGGAATGGAGAGTTATCATTCAGGGGGTACAAATTTTCTGTTTGGGGCGATGACAAATTTTGGAAATAGATAGTGATGATGGTTGCACAACATTGTGAATGCAATGAATTCCATTGACATGTATACTTAAAAATCATCAAAAGGGTAACTTTTACATTATATGTATTTTGTTACAATAAAAAGTGGTAGTAAACCTTGGTGAGTAGCGTCTGGGGTCTTAAAAGCCTGTGAGCAGCCATCTAAGATACTCCACTGGTCTCATCCCTTCAGGAGCAAGGGAGAATGAAGAGAACAGGATATAAGGAAAAGATTAGCCCGAAGGACTAATGGACCACAGCTACTAAGGCCTCCACCAGACTGAGTCCAGTACAGCTAGATGGTGCCTGGCTACCACCACTGACTGCTCTGACCGGGATCACAACAGAGGGTTCTGGACAGAGCTGGAGAAGGATGTAGAATATAATTCTAACTCATAAATAAAAGACCAGATTTACTGGCCTAAAGGAGACTGGAGAAACGCCGAGAGTATGGCGCCCAGACACCCTTTTAGCTTAGTGGTGAAGTCATTTCCGAGGTTCACCGTTCAGCTGGGGAGTGGACAGCCCCATAAAACCAAATGGGGCTAATGAGGCACAGCAGTCCAGGACAAGGGCCAGACGGCGGAAGGGGAGAGGAAAGCTGGTGATAGGGAACCCAAGGCTGAGTAAGGATAGTGTTGATGTGTTGTGAGGTTGTTAACCATTGTCACAGGGCAACATGTGTACTGTTAAATGAGAAACTATTTTGTTCTGTAAGCCTTCATCTAATGTGAGAATAGCAGCACAATTGGAAGAGCATAGTCGATGTCACTGAACTGTGCATGTAGAAATTTTTGAAATGGTGTGTCTTTGGCTATGTGTATTTTCACAAAAAAAAAAAGGTCGAGAAGGGAGAGGGTTGACAAGTTGTGGGGTTGTTAACCAATGTCATAAAACAATATGTGTACTATTGTTTCATGAAAAACTATTTGTTCTGTAAGCCTTCACCTGAAGTACAATTAAAAAAAAAAAAAGGTAGTAAAAAGAGAGAGAGAAAAATTGAGTTGGCATAGCCAGAAAACACAGGAAAGCAGGCGTCACAAAGTCAGGGGAGGAGGGAGTTTCGGGACAGGGGAGCGGCTGTCAGTGTCAAATGTCACAGAGAAGTAAAGAGATTTGAGGGTTAATCACTAGCTTTAGCAATTGGGAGGTTACTGTTATCGTTAGCAAAGGCAGTTTCAGGGGGATAGTAGGGAAAGACTCTTCACAGCAGTGGGTGGAGAAAAGAATGAATGAGAGTAGACAATTCTTTGGAGACACTGATCTGTGAAGGGGAGGGATGATAAAGAAGATATTAAAGAAGGGAGATACAGGGTAAGGGGGGATTTTGTTGGGGTGTTCTGTTATCGTTTTTGAAGATAGTTGAGACTACAGTATATTTATAAACTAACGGGTGGACTAAAGTTTTAGGAGAGTTGGATATTTGAAGGAAAGAGCTGATAGGATTTAGTGCAGGAGTACAGAGGCCTGAGGGGCTTAGGATCACAGATGCAGAGAGGGCAGGAGGGAGGGGCTGTGGGGACAGGTAAGACAGTTCATGGCAGGTGGCAGTAGGGAGTAACAGGGGATGATATTTAGAAGTCCATAGTCCAAGTGAGTGATAATTTCCTCCAGCAAACAAATCCGGGTTTTGAACACCCTTTGTGCTCTGTGCTGGGTGCTTGCTATCATAAGATCAATAAGATTCTGTGAAGCTCACAGTCGTGACACTCTCCTCAAGAACTGTTGTGTCTTTGTCCCTGTGTCTCTTTCCAGATGCCCCTCCTCCCCACCCCCTTTCCTTTTTCTCCTATTTTTTTCTCTTCTTCCATGTCAGTATGTCTTCTCCCTCCCTCTGCCTTCTCCTTGGCCTCTCTGCCTCTTAGCCACCACTCCTCCCCACCTCCCTTATCTGCACCCCATCTCTCTTAACCCCATCTGTTTCTTTTCCCTCGCTTCCTCCTCAAACTAGCCAAAACAAGGAAACAAAATCAGTTTTTAGTCTTTCTTAATATTTATTTTTTAAACATTTGTTTCCTGTTTAATTTTTAAAACAAATAAGTTGAAAATTATGTACTTCTTTCTCTCAAATGAAAGGTGAATATGAGTCTCAATTAGCTTTGTTCTGTTGGTAAATGATCCTTAATAAAATAAACCCTCCCCACCTCAGTTAAGCACAATGGGGAAGGAAACAGCACTCATGTGGTTTCATCTACAATGAGACGATGTTTATTTTGCACATGCTATTGACCCCGTGAAAAAGACAGAACTTAAATGCTATAGTATTAAAGAAAACATGTATTCAAAGTTTGTATGTGTTGTAGAAGCAAGTAAAACATGAAAAGCAAGAAAAAAATTGGTATTTCCTATCTCTGTCCATACACTCAGTATTACAGCTAGAATTCAAATGGTAGGGGGGAGAAAAAACAAATTTCTGGCCAAAGAAAACTTACTGCTCCTGGAAATATCATGCTGTCTGTTGCTAGCCAAGAAAACCAGTGTCTTTTTTCATTCCCCTGACCGGGCAGCAAAGGGGAGTCAAGGCCCCAGATTGTCCTGGTAACAGCAGATGACATGCCCCACAGCGGAAACCCGGTTGAAAGGGCACTTGCCGTCCAAGCCTCCCTCACACAGCCCTGCGGGCCCTAAATTCTGGCCGTGGAATCTCCGAGCAGACACATAACTTGTTTAACACTGACTTGGTTTCTCTAGGTGACTTAAGACTGGAAATTTTCAACTGCACTTCAGCAGAACTAATCCTTGACACGGATAAAAATTTCTGTTGAAAGTGGGTATATAAAAACTCTATCGTTTGCTGTGAGCTAAGTTCTGAGCCTAGTCTTCCTGCACTCTAATTGTTGGTCATTTCCTTTAGTGCCCAATTTGTATTACTTCTAAACAGCACCTCCAGTTGTAAACGTCTGGATTCAATGCCGTGACATGCCCTTTCCAAAAGATCCCTTAATCAAAGCTGTTTAATTTTTATAAAAGGAAAATTAGAAGAGAGATACTCTTCAGAGAGTCCCAGGGGACGAAGCTGGTGAGGGACCCCTGAAGAAGTTCAGGTTCAGATTCCTAGAAATGGAGGCCAAGTTGGAGGGGCAGGGGCAAGCCCTCCCTCCAGGTGTGGCTTTCCAGCAGCCTGAGCATTGAGAGTGCAGTCCACATACAGGAGTCATCTTCACAGCTAAAGATGAAGGAAGAGCCAGAAAAAGCAAAAGCCCCCAAAATAGCCCTTACAAAACCATAGAGAAAGTCAAGTAGGTCTTTGTGTTTTCAGCCTCTTGGGCAGTCTCTCAGATACTTACCACAAAGAGCACTCTATGCTACAGTCTATGCTTCCTGCACACCCCTAAGACTCTTCTCAATGCCTTCATCACAGCTGTCTGTCACAGAAGAATGAAAGTATCTAATAAAATAATTCACAGTAAATTATTCATTGAAGAGAGACAATAACTTCTTCATTATATTCTTTTGGTGGTATTTGCATGTTAAAGGAGGGTTATGGAAGGCAGTGCCTAACCCAAAGAGAACCAAATCTTGGAGAAGAATTTCATCCATTTCAGCAGGCAACTGGGGAGGTGCTTGGGGACAGGAAGAACATACTCTTATCCCTTAGGGACCACCCCATGGTGATTACCTATTCACCGTGTTTTTGTTTTTTTTTAATGATTTTATACCATGGACAGATCAGGACTACTTTGAAGTGTTATCTGCATTATCTGAACAGACCTCAAGCCTATTTTTCTTCACTTTTTCAGCCCATTTTTGACCCCTAAACCCTGTGCTTAAGTGTAAAATTTTAAGAGAGTCCTAAGGTAAAAGTTTCTACAAAAGTAAGCAAAGTACTTCCTTATATAGCTATGACCCCAAAGATATTTAAAGGAATAAAAATTATCCCCTTCCCCCACTTTGATCATTCTTGAAAGTTGAAACAGCCAGGTCCTCATGCAATTTACTTTGTCAGTTTGATGGGACTAGAACTCCCTTCACAAAAGTGCTTGCTTCTAGTTTAAGATGGCTTTCTTTCCTATAAATGATTTTGCTTGCTAACTTAAGCTGTTCTCTTACTTTCCTCCCTTTCTGCTCTCCCATTTTCATTTCTCAGGACAAATGTTGCCTTTCACTTCACTGCCAGCCCTTCTCAACCTCAGGTAAGTTAAGAGTTATTGTCGTTCTACCCGTTGGTGTTACTCAAAAAAGCCATGGTAACAGGTACCGTCAGTACGTGGTGTTTCCCTTGATCTTTCACAACTTGAGATATGTTTGTATTTTGGGAATGTTACTCGTGCCCTGGAACTTTGGACACAACATTTAATCTTGTCACCTTAACTGATGTGAAATGGGAGGCGTGATATTTGTTTGCAGATGTTTCTTGGTTCAACCTTCATTCAGAAAATCGTGTGCCTACTATGTACCAAGAACCGTGTTACATAGATGGTACTAGGTGCTGGGGATACAGGGGTGAAGAAGGTGGAGACGCAACTTTTGCCCTTATGGTGTTTAGATTGGGGGGAGTGGAGGGGCAACTTTAAACAGGTACACAGATAATAACTGACCTGGAAATACAAATAAGATAGACTTTAATTTCCACAATCTTATGGGTGGAATAAATAAGTTTCCCCTGTCATAGCTTCTGAAATAAAGAGTAAAGTCTATTTAATAGCAAGTTTTAATCAGACTTATTTAATGTCCTGATATTTATTGTAAATTTTCTGCAGGCTGTAAATATAGCTTTGCTCATAAATGGCTACTCAATTTTTACTTTTAGAGATACTGGGGCTAACATTATATGGACACTGTTATACATCTATGAGCTCTGGTGGCACAATGGTTAAAGCTCTTGACTGCTAACCCATAGGTCAGCAGTTCAAACCCACCAGCCGCTCTGCGAGAGAAAGATGTGGCAGTCTGCTTCTGTAAAGATTTGCAGCCTTGGAAACGCTATGGGGCAGTTCTATTCTGTCACATAGGGTCGCTATGAGTCTGAATCAGCTTGATGGTAGTGCATTTAGTTTTGGATTTGGTGTGCTGGTAAATATTTAACAGCTGGTTCTCCAAGAGAAAGCCCTAATTTGTAGTGTTTGCCCATTTCTGCAGTGTAAATACCTCTATCATGGCTAATTTCAAGCTGCCAACGTGATGTCATTGAACACAGAGTTGGGAAGAGATGTACAAGATCAGCTCTTCCAAGCCTGAATGAGCCAGTTAAAAAACCAAACGGCACACCTAGTAAGGATTAAATTTCCTTTTTAGTGAAAGCCTCTGCGGTGCATATATACTACCGCCCAGTGACAGGCATGGACCCACACACAGTCCATGGCCCTAACATTTATTGACCACTTACCGTAATTCAAGAAATATTTGGAAAGCTCTAGTTACTAGGTTCAATGGGAGCTACCCAGGAGAGGGGGGAGGGATCACACTCCAACTACAAGAAGAGTACTGTCTATAATAAATATGATATATAGAATGTGGCACGACTTTAACAGAAGGGCTTGTAAGCTGAAAGTCAGTGATGATTATATAGTGTGGTTTCTTTTTATTTTAAAAAGGTCTGTAAACATTAAAGCTTAAATTATTTGTATATAAGCCCCAAGCCAGAAAAAATATACACTAAAACAAAAATAGAAATTCTTTGACATCTGTAAAAGTCTTCATTTACTCGTAACAGTTCCTATTTTGATCTCTTTTATATCCTCTTCAGTTGCAGGAAGGGATTTTCTGTTCCTGTAAACTCACCCAAGCTACTTTACATTCTCAGATAACCTTTGTCATTACTGTCTGCCTCTATACCTGTAGATACTGACAGGTCGTAAAAGCTGGGCAGGTAATCAGGACATAGAAGATGGTTTTTAGCCTAAATTCCAGCTATTGCTTTGGGTCCATGTCATTTACTTCTTTCTAGTGAAAGTAGATTGTCAGGACTGGAGTCAGAAACAGCTATTTGGGGTGTATGCTAATTTAGAGATGAAGAGAGTGATAGTCCTTTGACATATAGATAAGGCTTCAGTAGGTGCATGCACAAAACCAACTACCATCTAGGGATGTTCTGATGGTCATTACTGCTACTAGTAATCATGGAGGTGCTCTTGAGTTACCAAGTGTGGCTCCCTAAGAATCAAGTACACCTCTTGAGAATTCCAAAGAGCTCATCTTTGGAGGAACCTTGTATTCTGTGTATTTATAGTGTATTTATTTGAATCAAACTTCAAAATGAAAGAGCAAAATGAAGTGGGTTCTGCGGGGTGTTGCCGTCTGTTACGAGGCATGAACAGACTTACAAACAGCTGTGTAAATTGCCCTGCTTAATTTTTAGATTTTTTTTTTTTCCCCATCAGAAGGTTGAAGGTTTTAGATTGTTGGAAAACATTTTATTTTTATTGCTTCAGTTCTCAGTATCAGGTTAGTAAAGAGGATGTTGGGATGCAAAATTAAGTTTTGTGTCTCTTTTAAGGTGCTAGATTTATTAGAGCCCAAGGATATGCAGTTTGTCTTGTTTTTTTTCCTCAAAATCTTAGTCGTATTTCATGGCAAGCCTCTCAACCAGTTACCATATTTATAATTACTGGGCAGAAGTCACCTTTCTTCAACATTAGCAACAAGTTTTGAACTTAGAGTTATTAAGTTTTTCCAGTGGATTCATAATCTAAGTAGGTAAATAGTAGAATCTCTTTCTATTAGAAATGTTTCCTGATTCTGGTCATATCTGAAAAATACTATTAAAGATATCTCAGCCTGCCCAAAATTGTGAACATGTGTCAGGGATCTTAGGTGTAGAACTTGGTCTGTGAATCTAAATATGTTCTTACTATAGTCCAATCAGGAAATAGAATCTTTAGCAAAAGATCTAGGGGAACATTGGGTCTAGTGCTAATTCTGCCTATGAGAAGGTCATTAAAAATTCTTGAAGAACAGGCTTATCTGCTTTACAAGGTGAAGCTTCGTATTTCAAAATGATCACACAGAAGAAAATTCTGTCTCATATTACATCCAGCACATCCTTAATCCAAAAGATGAAGTGGGGATGGGAGATTCTTCTTATAAGTAAGAACTAGAATAAGTGTAGAAAGTTTAGTCTAGAAAGAAATGGTTATTGTGCTGTCATACCACAGTAAATAAAATAGCAACATTGTAACAAAATAGCTTCTTTGCCTTGTTCACTGCTGTGTCCCTAACAGTGGGCCCAGAGCCAGAGCACAGAGCAGTTGCTCAGTATGTATGAGACAAATGAATATCTAAATTAATGCAGATTTGCTGAGATTTACATCTGAACTTTGTGCCTAATATTAGAGGAACTTATCCTATTCATGTGAAAATAATTCTGAGTTTGCGATTGTTTAAGTATTTCTTAATTTTAACAAGTCATGTCTTTCTCTTTCTTATTCTCAGTATTTTCTATATAAATTTCCCAAAGATGTGGACTCCGTTATCATTAAAGTGGTATCTGAGATGGCTTATCCATGTTCCATTGTCTCCATCCAGAATCTCATGGTGAGTCCTGATAACCTGTCAACCTTCCAACATAGAGCATTATATTGTCCTAGAATAAATGAGAGAGAGAGGTGGGGACCATGTCATCCTCTTACTACGTATGTCCCCCTCTAACTGCTAAATAATAAAAAACAGTACCTTGCACACACAAGTGGACAGTCCATGTTTTTAGACCATGATTTAAGGAGACCAAGAATAGCTGACACCTCATAAATAAATAAACAAATAAATGACAAGACAGAGAAAGGAATAATCATGACAAAGAAGAAGAAAGTTCAAGTAGTGAGTGGCACAAGATAAATAAAATAGAAACCTAGTGTTTGTTCTATATTTTAAAAATTTCATTGTAACATTAGTCCATTTCTAGCTCATAAGGTATTAATCAAGAATGGGACCGGTATTATATCTTTTAGACAGTCTTTTCAGAGTTCTCTTTCATAGGAAGTGACCTTGGCTCTAGAGGACAAGGCACCAAGTTTTAAGAGGACTATTTCATCACTGCTCTGGGGTAAAACTTTTATGGCTTCTGACTTAGTGAGGACTCCCTTGCTCTGTGGTCCAGGTGAGAAGACCCTGAGAGGGCCTAAGTGTGATATGACATTATAAACATCAGTAATACTTTCCTTCTTATCCCCCATGCATGCTTCAGTGCCCAGTGTACGATCTTGACCACAATGTGGAATTTAATGGTGTCTATCAGTCCATGACCAAGAAAGCTGCCATCACACTACAGGTGAGACATTGGTTCTCTGGTCACTATTGTCAACAACAATGCATGATTTGTAGTCAGGGTACCTACTGGACCAGCATCCAAAAGGGATGGCCATCCACTGCATGCCTTGTAGCTTTTTCCTTTCCGGTTGGTTTAAAAGCCTGAGCCTGAAATCAAAGCCTGGACAATGAGGGGCAAAACTCTTCTGCCAGGTGCCCTGTTCCCCTTGGAGATTCTTGGGAAACCATGGTGCCATGGGACATATATCTGACAGATATCTTAGAGAGGTAAAGTCCCGTGGACTACCAGAAGGTTCTAGTCTTCTCAGCAGAGGTGCTGATCTTTTTCTCTTTTTTTTTATTGTACTTTAGATGAAGGTTTACAGAACAAACTAGCTTCTCATTAAACATTTAGTATGCATATTCTTTTATGACATTGGTTAGCAACCCGAAGACATGTCAACACTCTCCCTTCTCGACCTTGAGTTCCCTATTACCAGCTTTCCTGTGCCCTCCTGCCTTCTCATCTTGCCCCTGGGCTGGTATGCCCCTTTAGTCTCATTTTGTTTTATGGGACTGTCTAATCTTTGGATGAAGGGTGAACCTCAGGAGTGACTTCATTTCTGAGCTAAAAGGGTGTCTGGGGGCCATACTCTCGGGTTTTCTCCAGTCTCTGTCAGACCAGTACGTCTGGTCTTTTTTTGTGAGTTAGAATTTTGTTCTACATTTTTCTCTAGCTCTGTCCAGGACCCTGTATTGTGATCCCTGTCAGAGCAGTCAGTGGTGGTAGCTGGGTACCATCTAGTTGTACTGGACTCAGTCTGATGGAGGCCATGTAAGTTATGGTCCATTAGTCCTTTGGACTAATCTTTCCCTTGTATCTTTAGTTTTCTTCATTCTCCCTTGTTCCCGAAGGGGTGAGACCAGTGGAGTATCTTAGATGGCTGCTCAAAGGCTTTTAAGACCTCAGACGCTACTCACCAAGGTAGAATGTAGAACATTTTCTTTATAAACTATGTTACGCCAGTTAAGCTAGATGTTCCCCGAGACCATGGTCCCTCTAGCCCAGAGGTGCTGATTTTACGGTGAAGTTTATCTGATCCATTTAATGCAATGAAACATATACTAGTAATTTGTATCAGTAATGGTAATCAAAAGAGGTCTTCGACTCTGGACAGAATGGACAAGTTCAAAGGAATATAAACCATATTTGTGGATTAGTTTACCCTTTTGGTATCTGTAATTAAATTATTATTTCAACGGTAATTTTATAGCAAAAAATGTATACGCATCATGCTAGAATATTTTAAAAGAGATTCTGTCCCTGTCTTCAGGGTGGTTACTTAAGCTTGAGGTACCTGCACCTTGATCTGTTCTTTGCAGTAAGATAATACTATTTGTTGAATAACAAGCAAAGAATGAAGAGAGATTAATTATAATTTGGGCATCAGACCTAAAAACTTCTACCAGTCAGGCTTTAATGGTCTAGGGCCTCAGATTTGCTGTCCCAAAGATCTGCTCTTGTTTTTAGTGCTTATTTCTTCTACAGCATTCCAGCATTATGTGGGCCCAAATAAAAATGAACAGAAAAATAAGTATAGTTGGGAACCTCAGATTTTATATCATTGGGACAATAAATTAATGAAGCACAAAGGATATCAGTACATCCCTACCTTGGAAGTATTTTGAAGTGAATTCTCACTTCTCTTTTGGGCTTATGATTCAGCCTTGGGCCATTTTCTTAGTTGGCTAACCATGATACCAGAAATTTGAGGATGATAAAAAACGGAGTTTTAAAACTATAGTTTTTGTTAGTTGTCATTGAGTCAGCTCCGACTCATGGCGACCTTATGTATAACAGAACAAAATGTTGCCCAGTCCTGTGTCATCTTCGTGATCATTGGTATGTTTGAGTCCATAGCTGTGGCTATTGTGTCAGCCCATCTCATTGAGGGTGTCTATCCTTTTTTGCTGACCCTTTACCAAACATGACAGTTTCTCCTGACGGCATTTCTAAACTGTAATAACCTTAAAGATCATCTTATCAAACACCCCTTTGTTTGTAAATAAGGGACACAAGAGAAGCACACTTAGAGAAAGTCAAAGTCAGGACTATAACTCGGGTCTCCAGACTTTAGACTTTGCCTCCCTAACCCAAATTATTTATTTAACTGCTGACTGTGTGACTTCAAAGAAAGCCATTTATCTTTAGATTTTAAAATAATGAAAACTTAATACAAAGAAACCTGTAAGAGGCGGAACTTGACCGAAGTGCCTTAATTTTCCAGGTCTCACAAGTTTTCCACCTTTGACAGGGTGCAACTTACCACTTTTCTGTCACTATTAGTGGAAAATATTTGAACTTTCTTTCTCTGACAGGTTTCCACCTTCCACAGGTTTTGGCTTTCACAGGTTTTACAGTATACAACTATTAATTATTAAACCTAGGCTGTTGACATATTATTTATATGGTGCACTCAAGTGTGCACAAAATAAATTGAAACGACAACAGTTTATCTATTTAATTTCTTGGATGTAATGGTTATTTTGTCATAGATAATCTGGGATATAGATCATGAGTATGTGACAGTCCTTTCTAAGGACTTAAGGGGCAAGGGTTAGGGGGCAGGGGTGAACTTTACTTGTCTTCTCTCTCCTCTTTCTTTCTGCCTTCCTCCCCCATGGCCTTTTCCTTCTTCTTGCTATCTTTCTTGCCGGGCTGTAATAAGGTTGTTATGTCTTATGCAGAAGAAGGATTTTCCAGGCGAGCAATTCTTCGTGGTGTTTGTGATAAAGCCTGAAGATTATGCCTGTGGAGGATCTTTCTTCATCCAGGGTAAGAGATAGTGAGGAGTGCTTGGCTTCCAGGACAAACCTGAAGGAGGGAAATGGACAGGAAGCCAAAAGCTCACATGGGCCTTTTATCACCACCTCCAGTTACTGGGCAAGGCAGTCTGAGAAAAAAAGAAAGGCAAGAAAAGGATGGATCTAAAGGTATTATCAATATTACAAAATGCCATGTAATACATTCCATCTTTACAAAGTCTTGTGCTTCCTCAGATCAGATAGGTATAATTACTCAGCTGGTCCTTTATTCAACAAATATTTGTTATTATGAAGTAATGATCTTGTACAGTGAATCAAGAAACCAGGTCCTTTTCCTAAGATTGGTTTGGTAGCCAGCCCTAATGGAGCCATTTATGTTTGTCAGTACTCATCATTTCCACAAGGAGTTACATGGAAAATTCAGAGTTCTCAATTCTGCTTGCCAAACTTGTGCCTTACAAGATAGTAAGAAAGCAAACTGTGACAACCTAGCCCAAGGACAGGGGTTGTGTGAGCTCTTAGATGCAGTCCAAATAGTTACAAGAAACTACCCAGTAACTATCTCGGGAAAAGAATAGGCTGCTGATTGAACAGTCCCCAGCAGCTGATGATCCATACATGGTGAACACAGAAGAGTGTTTTCTGTTGCGTGGCCATATCATCTGTGGTGAACAGTTTCGCATTTTTTTCACCACATCAAAGATTCCACCTCTAGGTATGTCTAGCATCTGTCTCCCTCCCAACCCCAAAGCACCTTCCTACAGAATCAAAGCCTCTTTGCAAATTCACAATCCCTGTTGGGGGCGGATGACCCAGTAAGCAAGGTAAGCACAGGCTTACTACCTACCTATCTGTAGTGAACAATTTCACATGGATTTCAAAGATATGGTTGAAGCCCATGTGACATTGTTCACTACAGATGATCTGGTAAGCAAAGTAAGCACTATGCTTACCTTGTCTATTGGATAATCTGCCCCTGCGCGTGTCACCTAGTTGCCTTGGTATTTAGGTGAGATTTCTGCTTGTTTGTTTTTTAATCTGATTACATAGCTCTAGTGACACAATGGTTAAAGACTTGGCTGCTAACCAAAAGGTCAGTGGTTCAAACTCACCAGCCACTGCATGGGAGAAAGATGTGGCAATCTGCTTCCCTAAAGATTATAGTCTTGGAAGCCCTATGGGGCAGTTCTACTCTGTCCTATAGGGTCGCTGTGAGTTGGAATCGACTCAATGGCACACAACAACAACAAGAGTTTCATCGGTGCCGAAAGTTCCTGGTAAAGTACAAGTCCTTGAATGACTATATAAGGGGAGGGGAAAAACCTCACTGACTAGAAAAAAGAGGTAGCTGACTAAAAGAAGAGGTAGCTTTTTACTTCTGGAGCTGTTTTCTTCAGATGTCTGTGACATTTGAGCCACACGGATGCCAGGAGAAGGGTCCACAACTCCTCACTGGGGACGGGAGATTGCAGTCCCATTTGTATCAGTTAGTGTTGCCAAAATGCACCCAAGCAAAGACCCAATCATAAGTTTTAACCAAAGAGAGTATTAGATGGTTTGAATGTTTAGTGGTTAGGTTTTCCTCCAGTTCTTGCTAAAATAAAATTATACAGCAGAGTTAATTCTGGCCATTTTTTGAAAAATATAACAAGCCAAGAACCTGGTATCTGATCCACAATGCCTTGTTCTTTATTACCAGAAAAGGAGAACCAGACCTGGAATCTACAACGAACAAAGAACCTTAAAGTGACCATTGTTCCTTCCATTAAAGGTCAGTGTTGGCTCCAGGAAGCAGGTGAGAAATTCCTATCAGGAAGTCTATCATATGATTCAGTGCTAATGTCAGCCTTCCAGAGAAAGGATGACATCCTTCCAGATTCATCTTAAGAAAACTAAAATATGTCCACACTAGAGATGGAAGAGGGAACCAGAGCATTTTGCTAAATCCCTTCCAAAGTGAAGGGGAGCTCATTATGAAGTTGTGTACAGGCAGTCTCTTCCCAGCTTACACTGGGAAGTCCTCACTGAGAACGACAGTCATTTGTGGATGATGTCTAGGTGACCTCAAGTGGCTTTGTTTTTCTTAATGGAAATTTCTTGGGACTTAAAAATAGGCACAATGGAGGTGGGCCTTTGGAACTGTTCTGTCCCAAACATAGACATTGACTGTCCTCTTTTCTCCTGAGTTCAACCTGACCCAAGTTGTTTCTCTTCATCCAGGATCCGTTTATGTGAAATCCATTCTCCTCAGTTTCCTCATCTTCTTCTCCTTCTACTTGGGATGCCTGCTTGTTGCATTTGTCCATTATGTCAGGTAGGTAAAGAGTTTCAAGAAATGTTAACCCTCTTTGCCTATGGGTTAGTTTATGAATTAGCACAGACATTAGAGCCACATAAACTGAGTGCCCCTAGGCAAGTTAATTAACCTCTCTGTGCTTCAGTTTTCTCATCTGCAAATGAGATGATATTTTACCTCACAGAATAAAAATATATCTGCAGCGTGTACATCAATGTCCTGCACATACTGAGTGCTGGAAGAGAGTTATTTTTGTAGTTAATAAAACCTCAACAAAAAGCAGCTTGTGCATTTTTTAGACTAGAAAATACTTACTGTAAATCCCACAGAATGTGGGGAATTATCAGTTCTTCCAAATATGGAGACTTAGAAACAACTTTAAACATTCCATTGAAAAGTAAAATTAATATCTAAAATAAATCTTGAAGTACAATAAATAGCAGGAGTAATATGCTTTGATACTATATTACCAGGTGCTTTCCTGCTGTTGCAGCATCAATTTTCTGGCAAAATGTCCTTTGAAAGAAAAAAGGGGGAGGGGTGTCCATCAATGGATGAATGGATAAACAAAATGTGGTAAATATATTCAATGGAATACTACACATCATAAAGAAAGATAAGTTCCCGGAATATCTTGGAACATAGGTGAACCTGGAAGACATTATGCTGAGCGAAGTAAGTCAATCACGAAAGGACAAATACTATATGATCTCACTTTTATAAATCAACAAAAAACAGCTATATATACAGAAATCAGCTTTCACTGGTGGTTACCATCTAAGACACAAGTATTGGTCTTTACTTGCCTGGAGCAAAAGAGAAAGAATGAAACCCAAGACTCAGGGAAGGAATCAGTCTACAGGACTAATTGTCTACATGAACCATGGCCTCCTCTACCCGAGATGAGAACTAGATGGTGCCCTTACATTCTGATCAGGACCATAATAGATGGATCCTGATAGAAAGGAAGAAAACTATAGAACAGAACGTCAAATTTTCCAAAAAAACACAGACTTACGGGACCCACTGAAACAGAAACAATCCCAGAGACTATAGCCCTGAGATAGTCTTTAAGCCTTGAACCAAAACTATCCCCTCAAGTCACATTTTAGCTAAATAGCAGGTTAGCTCATAAAGTAATGAATATCACCCTTGAGTACTGCGCTCTTTTAAAAAACCATCTATATGAGACCAAATGGTCAACAAACACTCTAAAGCATAGATGAAAAGGTTAGGGGCTGTGAGACTAGGTTAATGGAAATGGTACAACTAGAACAAAAATAATGAGAATGTTGATAAAATGTGAAGAATGTAACCAATGTCACTAAACTATTTGTGTAGAAATTGTTGAATGGGATCTTGTTTTGCTATGTACACTTCTACTGAAAATATAATAAAATACTATTTAAAAACGTGCGGGAGGGTGAAGAAAACATTCTTTGATGGTTACAAGGGTGGAGAGAGGGGGGAGGGTTATTTACTAACTAGATAGTAGATAAGAATCATCTTAGGTGAAGGGAAGGAGAGCACACACTACAGGGGAAGTCAGCACAACTGGACTAAACCAAAGCTAAGAAGTTTCCTGAAAACAATCAAACACTTTGAGGGACAGAGTAGCAGGGTTAGGGGTCTGGGGACCATGCTTTCACGGGACATCTAGGTCAATTGGCATAACAAAGCTTACTAAGAAAATGTTCTGCATCCTACTTTGATGAGTGGCGTCTGGGGCCTTAAAAGCTTGTGAGCAGCCATCTAAGATGCATCAATTGGCCCCAAACACCTGGAGTAAAGGAGAATGAAGAACACCAAAGACACAAGGAAAATATTAGCCCAAGAGACAGAAAGGGCCACATAAACCAGAGACTTCATCAGCCTGAGACCAGTACTAGATGGTGCCCAGCTACCACCGATGACCACCCTGGCAGGGAGCACAACAGAGAGTCCCCGATGGAGCAGGAGAACTGTGGGGTGCAGAACTCAAATTCTAGTAAAAAGACCAGACAACGTTTGACTGAGACTGGAGGAACCCCAGAAAGCAAGGCCCCCAGATTCTCTATCAGCCCAGAACTAAAACAATTTCCGAGGCCAACTCTTCAGACAGGGATTGGACTGGACTGTGGGACATAAAGTGATGCTCATGAGGAGCGTGCCTCTTAGCTCAAGTAGATACAAGAGACTAAAGGACAGCTTCTGTCTGGAGGTGAGATGGGAAGGCAGAGAGAGAGGGTTAGGAGCTGGCTGAATGGACATGGGGAATCAGGGATGGAAAGGAGGAGTGTGCTGTCACAGTATGGGGAGAGCAATTAGAGTCACGTAACAATGTATGTATAAATTTTTGTATGGGAAAATTTTTTTTTTAATTTAAATAAATAAATAGAAGTTGTAAGCTGTAAAATATAAAAAAAAATAAAATAAAAATGTTGGTGGGGGGTTAATAGTGCTGGAATTTTACCAAGGAAATTTCCCTTCCTGATAGTTTGGAGCCTCTCCTAGTAAAAAGAGCTGAATCTTTCCTTGTCTCTCTCAGCAGGCCTGAAGCTTAAGAATTCCATTCTTTGTTGTGCTCTCTGTGAAACAACTCCAAAAGAATGGCAGGAGGTTTACAATAAACAAATGTTCTTTCTCCTCTTGAACATGTAGAGAAAACAAAGCCAGCATAGAGTTTTGAGACTCTTAGAAAAGATTAACTACATCTGTAGAAAGACCTCTTAGCTACCTCAGTGATACAACTATCTCAGTAATACAGGTCTCTCTCTGACTCAAAAGATAGCACCCTCCTGTGACCTTTATGATGCTTTGAGTCGAGTTACTGCCTTCAAAAAACTTGGAACTACCACTGACAAATCTGAGACAATTCGAGTACCAAAATAATTAAGACGAAGAATGAATTATAGGCATTGAAAAAAATAGAAATTCATGAGTCCATATCAATAAAGGAAGGATGGAAGAAAAGGTCTACATACCTGCAGATATGGATTCAGTGAATTCAACAGTTACTGAAACAGTTACACGTGAGGGAGAAGAATGGTTAGCAGATACTGACGGTAGAAGGGAGGGCTCGGGTCTACAGTAGAACACTTGGAGCTGACTGGAAGGAGTGTAGGACTTGGAACCACATCATTTTGCAAACCAAAAACAAACCAAACCCACTGCCATCGAGTCCAGTCCAACTCATAGCAACCCTATAGGACAGAGTAGAACTGCTCCCATAGGGTTTTCAAGACTGTAAATCTTTACAGAAGCAGACTGCCACATCTTTGCAAACATCATAGTAAAGATTGGATCAGGTTAAGAATCATCAATGAATGTTATATCCAGGGGGAAATTCTGATAAGGATCAAGATATTTGCATAGCCTTACAGTGCATCCCTACCAATTGCTTAGTAGTTGCAAGGGGGGAAATAATATGTATATAGGGGAGAAATCAGATAATACATTGACAGAGTGACAATAGTCAAAAGGTGGAAGCAACCAAAAGGTCCATCAACAGATGAATGGATAAACACAATATGGTATATACCTGCAATGGACTCTTAGCCATAAAGAGAAATGAAGTTCTGATGCATGCCACAACATGAGTGAACCTTGAAAACATTATGCTGAGCAAAATGAGTCAGTTGCAAAAGGAGAAATATATGATCCCAATTATTTGGAATAAGCAAATATATAGAAACCAAAGATTATTAGTGGCTACCAGAGTGGGAGGGAAGGGGAAGGGGGAAGATTTTGCTTAGTGGGTATTGAGCTTATGTTAACGCTGGTGGAATAATTTGGAAAAAGATTGTGATAATGGTTGCACAACGTGAAGAATGTAATCGATGTCATTGAATTATACATGTAGAAATTGTTGAATTGGTGAATGTTTTGTTGTATATATTTTCACCACAATAAAAAAATAAGTTAATAATGGGATATCAATCTCCCTAAAGTTGTTATTCAGCCTAGTGAAAAACACAGTTTTTGAAAATTGTGGTATAAGTCTCTGTTGAAACTTCTAGCTGCCGGATTATTTTGCTACAGTCGAATGCACAAGCATAGAGTCTTTCCAAATATAGACAAACTGAAAATAGAAATCTGGAGACAGAAGAGCTATTTGGTATTTTAAGTAGGAGACTAGACTGAGGGAAGATGCTAACAGGGAGAGAACTCCTCCTTTATTCAACTAATAACACAGTTTTCTCCAAAGCCGTATGAAGCCAGTCCTCACAGCATAATGCCATTTTCTCAGTGAGTCCCCTGTACCTTATTATTAATACATATGAGTTTTGTAGTTCATGCTATGAAATCAAGATGAAAAGCATTGATAAGACACATGGCCCTGCCCGCAGGGAGCTAAGAATCCAGAGTGTTTTTATGCTGTATTGACCTGATCCTAAACACCATTCCCCTCCCCAACCCAAGGCCCAATTCACTCAACAAGTATTTATTGAGCCCAAGTCCCAGGTGTCACAAATGGTTAAGCACTCTACTTCCACTAGCTGAAAGGTTGGCAGTTCAAACCCACCTAGAGGTGCCTCAGAAGACAGGCCTGATGATCTGCTTCTGAAAGGTCAAACAGCAACAATGAATCTGCAGGTCCAGGGCGAAGCACTACACACAGGTTTTCTTATTTGTTCCTCTCAACTACCCTGCTAGACACTGAGTTCAAACTGCCCATTCTGGGTACTTTTCCTTTCCTTTGATTTTTGTATTAGTGATCCATTTCCACAATAATGTTGCGTTAAAAAAGAAAAGAAAAGAAACAACAACAAAAAAAAAAACTACCCACCCCCACACAAACCCCACTGGCTTACAGCAATAAGTATTTAAGTTTGCTCACAAATCTATGGGCCAGCTGGACGGTTCTGCTAATCTGGACTGGGCTCAGCAGATCTTAGCTGGGTGCAGTCATGAGTACAATCAGCTGGAGGGTCAGCTAGGAACTAGCTGTTCTAGAAGGGCCTCAGTTGTACTTGGTCTCTCATCCTCCAACAGGTTAGCCCAGGCTTATTGTATCTCCAAGACAGGCAGCAGAAGAGTACAAGGCCCACTTCAGGGGTAGGTTCAGAAGTGGAACAATGTCACTTCTGCCTCATTCTATTGGCCAAAACAAGTTGCAAGACCAGCCTAGATTCAAAAGGTGACGATACAGACTCCATCTTTTGATCAGAGGAGCTGGATACATGACGGGGTACAATCATTTTTGCAGGCACTAGAGCACAGTTCTGACTGACAGTTTTTTCCTTTGTTCACTGGATACAGCCCGCCTCAGCCTAGCTTTGTAATCATTCCACTCCTCTAACTAAAGAATTTTGTCAGCTCCAAAATCTAAGGCAGATATGGGTGATGCCTGTTAATACAAACACACAATCCCAACAGATCATCTTTTATGAGTCCACAGAGTTTCTCACCAGTCAATGTCACTGAAACAGTTATGAAGAAACTTCACTAGAGCCCACTTTGCCAGCTAGGACAGGCCAAGGACTAACTGCTCGGGTGGGTGGGGAAGAGGAGAGCTAATCTGGCTTTCTGACATTAAGAAAGAATGTGGTCCCCCCAGTGCCTTTTTCATTCAACAGATCCTTAGTTTTCACCTCCCATGTGCCAGGCGCTGTCCTAGGGGCTAGCACTACTGTGGTGAACAGAAGAGTCTAGATCCCTGCTCTCCTGGAGCTTAACTTCTGGAGGGGAGAAACAAATAATAAGCAGGTAAGCAATTAATAAACAAAATCATTTCAGCTAGAGACATGAGGAGACAAACACAGTGATGCTACAGAAATTATTGGGCTGGGGAGGCTACTTTAGATTTGGTCAGCAGGGAAAGCCTCTGCCTTGAGACCCGAATGGCAAGAAGGAGCCAGCCATGTGAGCTTCCGGGGACAGACTGGCTCAGGCAGAGACCAGCAAGAGCGAAGGCCCTGAGGAGGGATAAGTCTCGTGTGTCTAGGAATAAAAGAGACATGAAGGGAGGTTCTTCCAGCAAACATACCAGGATCAGGGTGTGCAACTTCTTGACACCCTCATTTGGAAGTAAACCAGAGCCTGCATCAAAGCACGAACACATCTGGCTCCCAGCTCTCCTCCCCTGCCTCTCTCAACCTCACACGCGAAAAGGAGGCCCATTTTGGAAGAAGAGGTTGATGCACATTTTAATTTTTATAGACATTCCCAAATGGTATGCCTATTTTTTAAATAACAGCTTTATTGAGATATAATTCACATACCATAAAATTTACCCCTTTAAAGTGTAAAATTCTTTGGTTTTTAGCATATTCGTAGAGCTGTGCAGCCATCATCACTAACTAATTTCAGAATATTTTCATCACTCTAAAAAGAAACCTCAAATTCAACAAGGTGCAAGATATAAAATTAATATACAAAAATCAATTGTATTGCTATAGACCAGCAATGAACAATCTGAAAGTAAAATTAAGAAAACAATTCCATTTACAATAGCATCAAAAAGAATAAGATACTTAGGAATAAATTTAATGAAAGTGAAAGACTTGTTCATTAAAAACTACAAAACATCATTGAAAGAAATTAAAGAAGACCTAAATAAATGGAAAGACATCCCACATGCATAGATTAGAAGATTTAGTATTGTTAACATGACGTGGTAGACAGAATAATGGGACCCCAAATATGTCCACATCTTCTAATCTCCGGAACAAAGTGGCTGGACCATTTTACAAACCCCACCAGCAATATCTCAGGGGGACAGTTTCTCCGCATCCAACCAAAAAAAAAAAAAAACCAAACATGTTGCCGTCGAGTCAATTCCAACTCATAGCTCCACATCCAAAGGCCTGTATTTAAGAGTTCCTGGCAGGCAAAGTCTACAGGGAACAAATGTAAACTGCTAAAGTTTTCTCTGTCTTAGGAGCATGTGTGTGTTCCTCTTTGCAGGTTTCGGAGAAAATCCATTGATGGAAGATTTTGTTCCAGCGATGGTAAGAAAAATCCCTGGTTTCAATTCAAAAAGATGTCGGATGGTATGGGAGCATCCCATTTGATACTTCTTCTATCTCTCTGCCTTTTGCAATTTCCAAATCCTCCCTTGATTCTCATCCCACAGAGTAATCTAATCTGCGGACATTCTAAGGATGGCAGAGCTAGTAAGGATCACTTTTTATAGTTAATAATTATTGTGATATAGAGCTCACACTAAGAATCTTTGCTTGGAGTGTCCTTGAAATTGTCCCCGGCCTGTTTGTCAGCCACTTGTCTTTTTAAAGATTAATCTTTTCTAGGACATAATAGCTCATAGTTATCTTATTCCAAAGTTGATTTATGAACAGTAGTAGGAATTTAATGTGTCAACTCTAACATGAAGTTTACTTTTCTCAAAATGAGATAGAGGCTTTTTTGCTCAAGTATCTAGAAAATTGAAATATTCAAGACTAGCGAGTATACTAAAGAGTATAATAGCTTTAAAAAATCTGGACGTAATTAAATATCCAACCACTGTTGCCTTTTCCTTCACTCTGAGAGTTAGAACAAAGGAATTCAGTTGCCTGATCTTTTTATCAAAAGCTAAAAAATTTTTAAATGTCCTCAGTTTTGAAAAGCTTAAATCAGCGTAGATCACTCAGTGCTCATAGCTATTTGGCATGGAGTGATAACTTGAAAAAGGAATGATAAAATGAGACTTGATTTTCAAGTTAAATGTAGTAGATGTTTAGTTCTGTGTTTTCTGCTGTTAAATAAATCCACAGAATCTTGGAAAGACTCAAACCCACCCCCTAACCTGCTGCCCTCACCCAGCAGGAAACTTTCTCCCTTTGCTGAGAGCTCACTTCTCCCGTCTTCTTTGACTTCTGTCTTTTTTAATGTCAGCATGTCTATTTTTCCAGCCCCCAAGTACTTTGTTTTAATAAACATTCAACTGCCAGTAGAGAAGGCTTTCAAAGAACACCTGTGGCTCTAAAACACTAAGTGCTACTTTCCCTTTTATTCATAAAATGTTTAAATGAGCTTATCTGTTCTCTGGATGTCATCTTTTCCTACAGTGCCCCCAGTTTTGCTATTACTATCGGCCTAGTTGAACTTAGAAAGCCTAGTTGGTTGGATCCCACTGGGTGCTCTGGGAATGGATGGTCTGTTATTTTTATTGTATGAGTGAAGTCATTTTATTATTGTAATAATAATTAAAAGAATTCCACACTAGGTCTCCTGAGTATTGAAGCATATGTGGACAGAGCTGGTACTTGAGCTAGATCATTTTCCAAGGTCAGAAAGGTTTGGAAAATTAGCTAAGAGGTAGAGGTATCTCTCAGTTGGAAAACAGAAACTAATGAGTGACCAAAAAAGAGGAAAAGTGTATCCGTTGGGAATCCTTCGGCTGCAGGTAACAGCAACAACAAGAAAATATATCCCAAACATACTTAAACAATAAAGAGGCTCCTGTCCCTGGAAGTTGGACGGAGGGGTGGACTTCAGAACTGACTGAGTCCAGTGGCCCTGGTCCATTTCCCTGCCATTCTCTTGGTTCTGCCTTATTCCCAGTGCTGATGGTGAGATGATTCAGCACTCATGCCCTCATCCGACAATGTCCGGTGGGAAAGACTTTCAGAAGCCCCTGCAAACTTCTCCTCAGGTTTCATTGGCTTGTAGTGGATCACATGCTTTTTCTTATAGCAGTTACTGCAAGGGAATAGATTTACCTACAGATCAATCGGGCCTACTTCTAGAGTTGGGGATGAGGTACAAGCTCTGCCTGAGGGAAGAACCATCCTTAGCAATCAGTTAGTTAGATCATGGAGAAACCAGTTAGGAGCAAGAGACAGAGGCAAATGGGGACCATATGTGAAAACTAATGTGAGACATTCAGGGGAGGAACCTTTGGAGAAGAGCAAGGTTACACAAAGTCTTTCCCAAGGGCCAGAATCAGTGGTGACTGTGGGGGCTTCAGGAAGTTCAGTGGCGCTCAGAGTCACAGGAAATGACCTGGTGGCTGATGCCCAGAGAAAATGCTAGCAGCAGCATCTGAAAAGAAAGGGGAATCCCACTAGACTTGGCAAGGTGTCTGCCCAAACCAACATGGAGCTAGACATCTGAGTAACTTGGCCTAACCCTTTCACCTCGTGTATGCTTGAAGTGGAGGAAATGGAACTGGGTCCCTATAAGTCGCCAGATTGGTGACAGCTCTGCATTAGTTAGACAATGATAGGAAGGCTGCATTCATAAAATCTGTTAGCTCCTCTGCTTTTGTTTTTCTTTGATTTGTCTGCAGTTGTCATTGTATTTGAAAAATGTCAATGTTGCCTCCAACTGTACTAAAAAAGTAAGGGGTTTCTTTCATATTTCATGGGATGAAGAACAAGTCCTTGGAGCCCAAGTGAGATAGAAATATGGTGCGTAAGGACACGCCTCAGAAGCATTGAAGGAATCCTTAATTGTGGTATAAATGAATAGATACAGTATTATTCATGTATCACTGTAACACTTACGACAGGACCTCTGTGATAATCTGAGGGGTGTTAGAAAGGCTTTGCACTCTAAAAACATTCCCTCCACTAGCTCTGTCACGCTTCCTGTAACCCCACATTTCACATCGTTGTTAAAGAGCCGCAACAGAAATGCAGTTGCCAACTGGGAAGAGAGGCTAATGAAGGGCCCCTCCCAGGCGTCTGGGACCATATCAGCTCTCTCCGTGAGCCTGGGGTGCAGCCTAAGAGAATGTTACTTACTCAAGTGAGAGAGCTCAACTAGTCTGACAAGATTTTAGATTTAAGAACAAATAGTCAACCAAATTCTTCCCTGGATAGGCCATTAGTGAATCAGCTTTTTAGCAAAGAGCAGGGTCCAGTGGGAAGAAGGAGAGTGTTGAGGTTGGCAGAGGCAAGCAGCATAGCCATCATCAGACTCTAAGGCAGTGGGTCTCACACTCTAGTCCTGGCTCTCTACTCTTGTCTTATCAAATTTCCTTGGCTTTTCTTGCGCAGTTTTTGTTGTAGATGAATTTTAGAATACAGTTCCAAGAAAAATCCAAGTAGTACTTTTATATAAACTATGTTAAGCCCATTTATGTTTTAGAAAAAATTGACACATTCTCCATGTATAGCCTACTCATCCAGGACATGTAATGTTTGCCTGTTTATTCAAGTCTGCTTTGACACCCTCCCATAAATGATTTGTCTCCTGAACTTTTGAAACTTAACCATGGAAGTAGTTGGGATAGGTGTCCGATGGGCATAAAAATGACATTTCATTGCAACTCATTCATGTCATCTTTGATTTCTTCACCTTTCAACCCCTTGCATGTTACCAGCCAGAGCAGAGTGCAGACACCAGTGATTTATCCAAGTCCAAAGAGACCTGCACAGCTGGACTTTTTTTTTTTAAATTATTTTAAACGAAGCTGTCAACTAACAAAACAGTGATTTCATGTTTGTTTCAGGGCTTCAAACCGGTTCATTCCAGTTCAAAGCCCTGGTTTATTTGCTTGCTTTAGTTTTAGTTTTTACTTTGTTTTCTTTTGATTACTCACACACAAAATCCTACGAAAACATTCCAGCCTCCTGCCACAGCTGAACTCAAGCATTTATCTGCACACATCTACCTCCCATCTCAGACAGCTCCTTGGCAACACCAAAATGTCAAAAACTCCGGGTTTCATGATTTTAGTGTCATTTTCACTTACCGTTTGCAAGTTTAGTAATTTTTTTAAATTACATTTTAAACAAGGAGTATCAGTCAGTGGTTAAACATAGGGAGCATACACTTGAAAAGAGAAAAATGTAAAAGACAATGAGGGAAATGTAAAAGACTGACCTCACCTAGGGTTGTGACCACCACTGTGTTTCCATGAGTCTCCCCACAATAAAGTACAAGCATACCTCACTTTATTGCACTTCACAGATACTGTGTTTTTTACAAACTGAAGGTTTGCAGCAACCCTGTTTCGAGCAAATCTATCAGTGCCATTTTTCCAAGTGCATGTGCTCACTTCCTGTCTCTGTGTCACATTTTGGTAGTTCTCTCAATATTTCAGACCTTTTCATTATTATTATATCTGTTATGGTGATCTATGATGAGTGATCTTTGATGTTTCTATTTTAATTGTTTTGGGCACCATCAACTGCACCAATATAAGATAGTGAACTTAATCGATAAATATTTTGTGTGTTTTGACTGCTCCATCGACCAGACATTCCCCCGTCTCTCTCCCTCTCCTCGGGCTTCCCTATTCCCTGAGACATGACAATATTTAAATTAGGCCAATTAAAAGCTCTACAATCACCTCTAAGTGTTCAAATGAAAGGAAGAGTCGCACGTCTCTCACTTTAAATCAAAAGCTGGAAATGATTAAGCTTAATGAGGAAGGCATGCTGAGATAGGACGAAAGCTAGGCCTCTTGCACCAAACAGTTAGCCAAGTTGTGAATGCAAAGGGAAAGTTCTTGAAGGAAGTTACAAGTGTTACTCCAGTGAACACACAAATGATAAAGCAAAACAGCCTTATTGCTGATATGAAGAAAGTTTTAGTGGTCTAGATAGAAGATCAAACTAGCCACAAAATTTCCTTAAGACAAAGCCTAATCCAAAGCAAGGCCCTAACTCTCTTCAAGTCTATGAAGGCTGAGAGAGGTGAGGAAGCTGCAGAAGAAAAGTTTGAAGCTAGCAGAGGTTGGTTCATGAGGTTTAAGGAAAGAAGCCATCTGGATAACATAAAAGTGAAAGGTGAAGCAGCAAGTGCTGATATAGAAGCTGCAGCAAGTTATCCAGAAGATCTGTCTAAGATAATTGATGAAGGTGGCTACACTAAACAACAGATTTTCAATGCAGACAAAACAGCTTTATATTGGAAGAAGATGCCATCTAGAACTTTCATAGCTAGAGAGGAGAAGTTAGTGCCTGGCTTCAAAGCTTCAAAGGACAGGCTTACTCTTGCTAGGGGCTAATGCAGCTGGTGACTTTAAGTGCTCATTTATCATTCCAAAAATCCTAGG